AAATGAAGTTGTAGGATTTTTGATCCTATTAAGCCACGTGGAAATTTTAATCCTTGCTCGGTGAAAATTATTAAATGGGGAGCTTATAAATTCGAGGTTAATCCGAGTAGAGAAATTAGGGATTAAAGGAAAGAGATTCATTATTTAAATCGGTCATATCAAGTTTCCAAAAATTGGAAATCTATTTCTTCCGAAAGATATTGAAAAATAATTTTTTCAGGTGAAACAAGTAAAATTCATAAACCAAATATATAATATGCAATTTTCAAGAAAAAAAAAAAAGAGGAATTAATATGCTTATTTCGCCCCCAAAAATATTAATTTAATAAAAAACATATTAAAGTATATTTTTTGACGATGGGGGAAAATAAATAAAATTAATACACCTATTCCTTCTAGAAAATACCAATTTTGAGGGAAAAATAGAAATTAGAATACGGATACTAAAAAAAAAGGTTCGCAAATTAAATCGAGTGTATCAAATTTTCCGCGAAAAAGCGCTCCAATGCGCAAAACGCGAAAAAAGATAATAAGCGAAAAATTAATTCTCCAGGAAAATGGGGATAATTTCAAAGGAAAAGCTTGGAAAATGCTTTTTCGTCCTACGTCTAACGCTGCAACAGCAATATTATTAAATTTATCGAACATCGCGTTCGAACTTTTGGAGGGTTTTATTTCTGTTTGTAATTTACCACGAATCATTTCGCATTCAGAATTTTCGTGTCCGATGAATCACGATCTGCTGGACATCGATAAAATTTTATACCGCCGTGTTCTATCGGGGCCACGCGTGGTAACGCGTATCTTTCTGTCTCTTTTCTCACTTTTCTTTCCTCCCATTTTCCCGGTGTGGCAAATTTAACAGCCGTAACGATAGCCATGTAATGCTATGAATAAATTCCGACGATATTTTGTAATGGAAATTACATTATGCAGCAGCCTGTGCATCGTTTTCGGTCTTATTGGCCGCATCAGTTTCCGAGGCAATCTATGTTATGGCTGTACGTTCTCACATAAATAAGCCACACACACACGCACGCATCTACCGTATTCCGTTTGATACCAACGGATCAAATTTTGCCTATTCGGTTTATGACATTAACGCAGAATCATTCCATTTGTCACCATTGAAACTAGATCGAAGACTTTGACCGTTCACTTTGCTTTTTAAGGAAAGCGATTATTTCTTAGATACGGGAAATAAGTCGCTTCCCAATACACAGCTGAGTGGTCAAATGTCTGATAATTGCAAGGGGGGGGGGGGGGGGATTTTTCAGGAAAATCGTTTCGATAATTGGGTAAAAATTCTAACGAAAGACTGCTTTTAAATTACTTGTAATTTTAAGATTCAATGATAAATATTATATATGTGTCTCTGAAAATGGTTTGAGAAGTAATACATTTGAATAAATTTCGTGGATGAGCAATACTGAAATCGTAAGATTGAGAAAGGAATTTGAGAATTTATAGGTATACTTTTCACAAAATAAATTATTTTACATTGTGTATAATCATCTAAGAATTTATAGCCTGTAAATTTATTATAGCGTTAATTAAAGATATTTAATTGATATCTAATTTCAAACGAATTTTGAAAGACTTAAATTTTTTATTTCAACATTCTGTACATATACCTATACCGTATATATTCGTTTAATAATTAATTTATCGAATCATCAGAATGAAAGCAGGACTTTAATTAAAAAATGTGAATTTTTCATTTCAAGTTTCTATATTTACATAACTCGTATGTCCATTTAAGAATTTATCCATAAAATCACTGCAATGAAAGTAGAAGATATTTAATTAGTAAAACTGCCCCTAAATTAATTAAAATTTTTATTTTTATTTTCATAAATAATTAAAATTTTCCATTCATCTATGTCTATACTATAGATTACAACTTACTTCGGAATATATTGTACATTCTCAGAAAATCCATGATAGGACCTTAAATTTACCCCACTTACGAGATACTCACCCTAAGAACACGAAATCGAAAGAAAAGGAAGCAATTACGCGTGCAATTTCCTCCATATTTAACGATCTATTTCTAATTTCTCTCGATCAAAGGAGATCCCACGTCTGCGAATGAATCCACAGTCTCGAATGTCTCATTAAAACCCCGTGTACTTTCACGTATCCACATGGAACGTCAGAAACAAGAGATCAAGGAAGACACACCGTCGTCTCTCCTCGCTTCCTCCATGTAAGACATTCCCTATCTCTTCACCGATCTACGGCGTCAGAAATCATCGATCACCGATCAAACTCGCAGCGAAAAGCCGAGAATCGACTGTCGCCGAGTTCTCGAAGCTGTCTCGATCTCTTATATCCTGCAGGATGCCGCGAGGAAGCTCATCACGTGATCGCGTTATTGGCTATTCCGTTTAGAATATTCGCGAGTTGGTGGCCGTTTGTCAAGATCGGGACGACGACCGATGTCGGTGTTCCGTTTCCTTCGTGGACGTCCAGGCTTGATCGAGCATCCCTTCGACGCGATGTTCCGGCGCTCGTTCGAATTGACAAACGGTGCCATTAATTCCGGAGCCTTTGAGCGGTCGACGAGCGGCTATCCGAGACGCGAACGTCTAACGGATGACATCGCACACAGACGTACAGGAAGCGATAATGATCAGTGATTGCGTCGAGCTGGCCAATGTATTAGACGACCAGCTTTTCCGCGTCCCGGCTGATCAATCGGTTGTGTCGCAGAGAATCGCGGATTCGGTTTAATCCGGGCTCGAGTTCTTTCCGGAACAACTTTTTGGGTCGCGGCAAGGTAATAGCTCTTGACAGAGATCAGAGCGGAATGTGGTGATAGAAATTTTTGGGATTAGGTAAGCAGCACTTCGAATGGATTTTCTTCTACCTCTAAGTGGTCATTGAATATTTTCGGTCGAAATTTTAGGAGCTCGGTTTGGTACCAAGTTGATTTAAGATTTTATTTTTGGGATTCTTGGAGTTTGAAGTTCGGTTTTCAGAGATTTATAACGTACTGATCAATTGATTAATATATTTAGGAAATTTCACTCACTAATGAAAATCTTTATTAAATATAAAGCGTATCAGGTTATGTTGAGATTATTGGGGTTGCTTAAAGTATAGTTCAGTTGGTAATTAAGTAATACTATTTTTATTTGAATATTTAACAAGTTTCTTTGTACGAGAATTTTTTTTTTAATTACAAAATTTGACTTTGTAGTAGTCGTTGAAAATTAACGAAAGTTAGTAGAGCAATGAATGAGTTGATGGTCGAATTTTTGGGGGTTTGGAGCTTCCATGTTTAAGAGGTTTAGAGTGTGTTAATCGATTGATCAAAGTTTATTAATGAAATTTCATTCACTAATGAAAATCTTTGTTAAATATAAACTTGCATCAGCTTCTGAATATTTTTCGTGATATAGATTATGTTGGGATGATTGGAGTTGCGTAAAGAATAGTTAAGCTGAATTTGTCGCATATTCAAACTATTGCTATTTGTATTTGAAAATTTAACAGGATTCTTTGAACGAGAATTTTTTTAATTAAATAGTTTGTTTTTGCAATAGCTATTGCGAATTATCGGAGGATAGCGTAGCAATGAATGGGTTGAAGGTCGATTTTCAATTTTGCGAGGGTTTGAAGCTTCTATGTTTTAGAGGTTTAAAATAAAATCGATAACAGGGATTTCAGCGTATCAATCTCAAAATAAATCGAGTTCTGTATATTTTCTCCCATATAGATTTTTTTCATTTCTGAATGTATTATGTATTTTCAACGTTCACACACGTGTATTTCAATATCTCTTCTGTCTCATAAAATTCTCTTCAAAGCTGTTTATATATACATCAATTTCTCACATATCTCAATTTTCCTATTTAACGTCATTTCTGATTATCTATCACTGTGATTTGCTATATTTTGAGTAATATATCCAAATCTTTGTTCATCGTCAAACAAGCAATTTCTAAAATTCCTATCCATGCAATGTAAGTCGCTGTTCATTAGCCTTAATTCCTCCATATCAATTAATTATTATACTCCATATACATCGACAATTACATATCGAAATAAATATAGTTCTAATAATCTGCATATCACTCTAAAATAAAATTAATAAAATTCTTGAGCTCGAAAGAGCCGAATCCACGAAACGAGGAGTATGAAGCATCATGCTGATATGCAAAAAGATAAAAAAAAATGTGAAATTTCCTTTGAAAATTGCCGTTTATCACACGCCTTGCCATCTCCTTGAACCTTACCCGATCATCCATCGGAAAACCGATGGAAACTTCCAAGTACACGTGCCAACACAGCGTGACACCCTCTAACCGAGCTGCTCGTAGAAAAGCTAAAGGTAGTAGCTGGTAACGCGGATAAGGAATCTCTAGCTTTACAACTAACGACAAGGGACTTCGGAACGCCTTCCGCATCCGTGGGTATACTCAGGGTATGGACAAGCTAACACGTTCTAGTATCTAAAACGCGCCAGAAACGGAAAAGACAGGCGACGACGGGAAGCGTATAGCGCGTCAGGGTAAAGTCAATTAGCCAAAGCTTAGTTCGTATCGCAGCTCCGCCATGTATCCGTAGATTGCCCTAATTAGTGGGATGACATTTCTTTCGTTGGCTAAAGAATGCAAGAAAAAAAAAAAAGAAAAAATAAAGTACAGAGCATAACACGAAGTAGAATAATCAGATAGAAAAAAAGAGAAAAATTAACTCACATGCAAAAAAAAAATGTAAGATCGAAGTAGAGCAAGAAACCGACGGATCATGTGGTATGAGTCGATGAATAATCGCACGAGTAAAACAGCCTAGTCTCTCTTCCATAGTCGGTAAAACGAAAACTTAGCATTTTTCGATATACACATATGTCTACCCTAGGTGATTTCCGTTCTCGTTTCTGTTTCCGTTTCCCGTTTTCCGTTCGTTAAGTCTCGAACTCCGAAGACCGGAGCTGATGCCGTAGATTCAGCGTAGATCTCGTAACATGTGCCTCTGGTGTGTGTCGACAGTTCGGGAATCGAAGATAAACCGAGGGTGTATTACGAGCTAATCGACGGATCCACCGCGCAGACCAACAGGTATAACACGTTTTACCTTCAGCAACGCAGCGAGGGCAATGTCATCTGGGCTGACATCAAGGTCAACCATCAGCTGGATTACGAGAGCATAAAGGAGTACAATCTGACTATACGAGTGGAGGTGAGTCAGGTAAACAGGTGTCCTTCCAGTGTCATGTTTAACACCGTAGCGTTTCATCCCTTGGCGATCGTTATTGATAAATTTTTATGGAAAATTCTCTATTCGCATATACGTACTATGAATTTTCCAATATTCTTTTCCCGATTCCATATTTTCCAAGTTCTTTACCGTTTATTTATTCATCTGGTAGCCATGGTAGATTTAGGTTGTGTCAAGAACCGCATTGACGAAGAATAAAATTCGTAATAAAATTATTTAAGAGAAATTATTTACAAAATTGCTGGATAAATAATTAATATGGAGTGAATAACGTAGCGATGAAATTATAATTAGTGGAGGATTTAATATTCATTTAGTATTCAAATAATTTATTTATGTTATGATAAAATACAACAATGTAATTAATATAAAATGCAATATCATTTATGAAAATTCGTTTAAAATTTGTCGAATTTAATTTTATTTCCATTTCAAATACAGTCACGAGTAATATTCGCGAATGGTCGTGTAGAAGGGTATCTGCGAATCGTAGTTCACGAATCGTCGCGAAATCGTCTCGTGAAAAGGCTGCAACGATAGGGAATGAATTCTGGAACTGCAACTGTCATTGGAGCGCGTCCAGCCAAGGGATGGAACGTTTCTGGTGCTGAAGGAATTCGCGAACTTGCGGTTACCGAGTTATTGGTGTTTTTAGTCGGTGGTAACGAAGTCGTGGGAGAGAAAAGCAATGCCACGACTCGACCTTCCAGCGAGGGTTGCTTAATCTTCGCTGGTGGAGGAAAGTTTTGAGGTCGGAGTTGGCTGGTTGTCCGTGAACAGTTTCGGTTGTTCAGCTTCGTTTTTATTTCGGGAGAATACCTCGCAGGAAATGACGAATTCTTCGTTTCATATCTCGAGTCAAGTTTGGGCTTTTCGCAGTTTTTGGTAATTCTGGGAAACTCGGAATGTTGGGTGTGTAATTTTGAGGCGGAAGATGTTTTTCTTACCTTTAGACAAGTCGAGGTGTGTTAGATGATGTTGTAAAGAGTGGAATATTGCGACAAGGAACAATTTTATACATTTCTCCTTTTTCTTTTTGCGAGAGGGGTTTATTTTATTTTATATCGAAATTTTTGATTTAAGGTTGATTTTCAGTGTTCGTTTTGAAGAGTTGAATATTATTGGATGGAAGAATTTTCTTCTTTTTTTTTCTTCATTTTGGAAGTTGTGTTAGTATGTATTTTGAAGTGAATATTTTTTCGGCGGTATTAAAAGGAAAGAAATTTTAGATTTCAATTTTGGATGTATTAAAATTCATGCCCTGGGATGAAAATGGTAATAACTGTGCTCGTTAGTCGGGATTTTCTAATCTTGTACGATTACCCCTAGAAATTCATGATTAAATTATACTCGCTAATTAAATTAATTATTTCAAGGGAGTGGTTTCGTTTTGGAATTTTTAAGAAGCGTAGATTCTTCTCCATTTCTCAATTTTTCGATGTTTTAAATATTCCTAGCTAAAGGGAATTTTAAAAACACTGAATATCACTGGAAGTATAAGCTTTTATATGGCAGTTGACGCACAGGTTATTCTTTAGAGCTAAAATTTTAAAAGTTTAGAGTGTCCTTAAAATTCATTTTATTTACAAATTTCTCACAATTTCTTACAATTTCTCAAATTCGGAATTAAAAGGAAAAACAATTCCTTCTCGCGTTTTTTAATTCTTTGATATTCACAGAGTACGTAGTTGAAGAGAAATTTAAAAATTCTAAAAATTGTTAAGGCTATAAGCTTTTACCCAGCACCTGTCGCGAGAATTGGATTTTATAGCTAAAATTTTAAGAGGAGATTTAAAATTCAGAGTCTGGGACATTTAGAAAATTTATTCTCAGAATTAAAGAGTTCCACGAACAATTTAATTTGTACATTTTTATTTTTTAACAGCCATTTAATGAATTTCCTCACAATTCATTTTACTCTGTGTAATATATATTTATCGTTCATTCTCACTTTCGAAAAATAAATTCCACTCTTGCACCTCGTTCTCCATTTTTCTCGCACTCGTACACAAGGACTGTTCGCAAGAACTCATTACAAACTTTTCGTTTCGTTGATTTGCCTGCACTTTGGAGGCTTCGTTCCTCGAAATTTGCCCGAAAGATCAGCGCCTGTTGGGCAGCGCATAAAACAACGAATAACGCGAGCAATACATGGTATAATTGAATCGCGCTTACGTTACAATTACAGCCCACGGGCAAAGCTGCGGCTTTGCGTTTTTCAAGCCTCGAATGATACGATATAGAACGCGGTTAATAAATTTCCCAGCGAGTGTATTTCCCTCGAAATTGTCGAGTGGCCGCAGAATATAACCTCCACGGTTAAATAACCGCTGTTCTTAAATCCATTTAGAAACTGACAACGGAGCAACTTGGAAATCCGCTTACGAATCGTGGTTATTATTTTTATTTCAGCCAAGCCGCTCTGAGGCATACCCGTAGTTCGTGTTTTCACGGTAATATCTCTCAGAGCAATGATAAAATACGCTCCTCGTCACTTCCGTGTTAACGCCTAATCAGTCAGTGGCATAGCTTTCCTCTCGTGCCATTTGTTTCGTCTCTTTTAAACGATATTTCGTGTTCTCGAGTCTGCCGAATAGTTAAAGATGAACGACACGAAATTTCGCTGGAAAATGACATGCAAAGTGAGAAACGTGTATAGTAGCATCGGTGTTATGCGAATACCCGTTGTGCGAATGGTTTGTTACACGATCGTTCTGTTATTTGAACGCGATATTCTCAATTTTGATATCGTATATTATTACATAGGATACTGTACGTATTTACTTGCATCTGCGAAGAGAATGAAATCTGTATATTTACAGCGGTGGATTATGAAATTCCTATAGCACAATATATATGGAATTAATAATAATTGTGTAATATTGTTGTTATAGATTAACATTATTCGAGTGATTAATGATAATAAATACATGACAGAATGTTCTAGAGTGATGTGGTCAAAATGGAAACAAATGGTAATTACAATAATTGAAAGGAGATATGGAATAATTAAAAAATTATCAAGTATTAGATATATGCAAGTTTGTTTTCCTTTCTTTTTTAATTTGAAAAGAAGAAAGTTCAAATGGCGTTGTGACTTTAAAATTTTTTTATTTATTTATTTTGCTTAATTTCATTTTAATTACTATTGTGTGAAAATTCTCTCGCGCGAATATTTCTGTCTTTCAATTAATTCGTACAACGAAGGGTTCTAGCGTCCATAGTTTTTAATTGCGTCGCAATTCGATTCGCATTAATGAATTTGAACCATTCTTCGCCATCGAGATTTAATATTTTGATTAATTTATTAATTATTCCGAAGCTTGAATTTTCTTGCTTCAGCGAACGCGAATCGCGGTTTATTTATTCGCGAGTATTGGAATTTTTAATAATTACAGGAGGCAATTTTCAATGCGAGGTACAAGTATGATAAGGATAATTCTCTTCTGCAGAACAATGGCGTCCAACAACTTGCTTCCGAAGCCACAGTTTATATTGTCCTGGAGGATGTTAACGACGAAATACCTTTGTTCGTGGAACGCGAGCAAGAAACCGTACTTGAGGGTGAACCGGTTGGCAGTAAGGTTACTCAAGTCAACGCAATTGACAAGGATGGCACCTTCCCTAATAATCAGGTGAGCAGATGTCACGATTGATTTAATTGACACGTAGAGTTCGATTTATTTGAAGCGTAGGATAAAAATCTGATACTCGATTAAATTTTAATAAATTTTAATAAATTTTCACTTGTTAACGACGAGTGATGGTTAAATTAATTAGGTAGTAATTTTCTTCTTGTCGAAATTGGTCGTCGTGTTTAAAAATTTGTTGCTCAAATGTTCATGGTATACAGGATATGCCATTTAAATCGACGTTCATGAATAAATTGGATAAATGTAAACAACAATCGAGTGGTTTCAAAAAGGGAATAATTTTCGGGTTAGCAGTTTCTTTTACTTTAATTTTTTGAGAGGACAATTTAGGTATAAGAATCGTTAACGAAATTTTAAGAAAGAAAGTGTACTGCTATTTTGCGATTAGTTAATAAATATCTATTTTATGCATATAATCGACATCTTTGCTAATTTCGATTTTTCGTAACTCTTTTTCATGAATCGAGGAATTTATTTAATTATGAAAAATAAAAATTATTAATTTGTTTAATTTCTGTAGAAAAAAAGTTGTTTGCAATAGATTGAAACGCGATAAGGTTTTTGCAAGAGTTTGTATTGTTTCGAATTATGTCTTTTAATGTTTTCCTTGCAATTTAGTATCGCCGTATTAGAAAGTTGATCAATTTTACATTCATCGGCAAGTTTCGGACACCGAATCGATTTTACTGAGCTATTAACTAACACTCATGACCAGTTTTCTGATTACACTCTAGCTTCAATTACACGCTCTGTCTGTTGTGTACTCCGTGTTTCGAATTTGCGTAGAATATTCAATCGTTAGTATACATCAACTATTCAGATACAACTATCAATGATAGGAATATAATTACTAGAAAATTATTAGTTTTCCCACGATGAATTTCAAATGAATTATTTGCAGTTTTATGACCCTAAAATGGCTATTTGAGGAATGATTATACTTGCAGACCAATAATTGAGATTTACGACTGTGGAAAATATATCTTGAAATTCTCGTTTCAAATATCCAATAATTTTGATGTATTTTAAGATGTGTTTAATTTACTTCAATACAAAATTTTCTATTCATCTACTTTTATATTCTGTGATTTTTTAAATAACTTTTAATTTGTATAAATAGAGAAACGCTTATGAAACAGATTTAATTCCTTTGATCTGTGATTTCTATATCACTACCAAAAAATACACATATGTTCGCGTTCCATCAGGAATGGAATATTTTGTTCAGTGCTCGACGAAGTATCCACAATTGGACGTAGTGTTTGTTTGGAACTGAACAAGGACGATGTCAACAAAACTGGAATGCCAAGGTTCCTGTCCTCAAGCTTAGTTAGCCAACATAAACTCTCAATCGCGCAGTGAAACAGCCTTAGGCTTGTAATTTTACCGGCGGTTGAATAAACCATTGAGGAGAGCGGAAACATAGGTCGTCAAATTCCTGTGAATTTTCGTATTAATCGTCCTTCGTTCTGTGGCATGGACAGTGCTCGTTTGTTGTTTGGGGAATCAGTTCAGCAAGTTAGGATACGCAACGTTCGTCTCTGAGACAGCTCGCAAGTAGAAAGAGAATAGATTGATTCGCTTCTAATTAACAGAGCTGGTTAATTAGATCTACTAAATCTAGGGTAACCAAGGTACACAATGTATGTAGTTGGTACAGTCAGAGTAACTGGTTTTAGATCCCTCGTTTCTAGAGTAACTGACAACGTAAGGATTTGAGAAAATTAGTCTTTGATATTACAATTAACCTTGAAAGAATTAACCCTTTGCATTCCAACTTGCAGATTTTTCGTTTTCATTATCAGTCGTTGAAAATATAAGGATTCGAAAAAATTAATTTTTCATATAATTAATTCTTCGCATTTGAAAAACTAAGAGTAACTCTAATACATAGAAAAAATGAAAATTTGCTACAAACAATTGATATAATTGACCATTTGTATTTCAATTTTCAGATTTTTAGGTTTTACTATCATTTATACGATATATAGGGATTTGGGAAAATTAATTTTTAATATAAATTAATCCCACGCATTTTAATTACATTATTACGTACCATTGATATTAATCCTCTCAATTCCACTATATTAATATTACTCCATATTTGGAATTACGAGACAAAATTTATTAGCATTGAAATCTAGTTACAAAATTTGAGAGAAATTTTATTCCTTTTCTATTTTAAATTCTTCTTCGTTAATAAAAATTATTCGATTATTTATTAAGAATCGTCCCTCACTAAACTTTTTAAATGTCAAGTGTTTATATACGTACCACAATTTGATGTATACAATACAGATAAGTAACAGATATTTTTACCTACTAAATAATTTGAGAATGAACGTGTTAATCGATATCTGTCGAAATCACGTTAGATCGATTTCCATAAGAGTAGATTGGCAACCGAAAGAATTTCATCGACGATTTATATCTCGCGGTAAAAATTCATTTGGACGAGTCCGGGTGTTTCATGAAGATACGAGGGAAATAAACTGTAGCTCTGGAATTTATATTCATGCAAAATGCATGAAACGGAGCGTGTATTGGAGATCGATCACACGACGTTATTAACTCGAAAGGAATTTCAGACGAAAGACTTGTATTTTACTTTTGTCAGTGCGGTTTTAATTAAAACGAGATAATTATCGACCTTTATTCAAATACAGAAGATACATAGTCGAAAATGAATGAAATTTATCGAACTTTCGCGAGCGATGATATTTTTTCCTTCTGTACCAAATTTCGATATCTGTGTTTCATTTTATTTTACAAAGTTAAACGCAGAAAATTTATCGGGAACACGAAATAAAATATACAGCGATAAGCAATACGGAATCTATATTAATTACATTTATATTAATTATTATAATTAATACAATATCTATACTAATTATATTTAAAATATTTAACAGCCAGTTAATACTTGAGCAGCTATAAACTTGTGAAAAGAAATCATACAGTAACATTTATGTAATGATGAAAAATGTAAAAATTCAGACACTGGTAATTGCACTTAAAAAACTTTTTTCACGTCTAAATTACTATCAATTGAATCTCTGAAGTGTCCAATTAAATTTCGTAAAAGTTAATGGGTGTTTTTCCATTTTCAAGTGATTACATTTTAGAAGAGTGCACTACCGACACTCTAGTAACTAGTAAAGTTAATATGGTAGAATATTTACACACACCAGTCATTATGGTTAAACAAGTAAAATGTTATCAGATTTTTCCACTTGTAACAAACAGAATTAAAACTTGATTAAATAGTCCAGCTTATTTCAAGCGAAATCATTTGGCTACCATAAATTGCACGTTCATTTCTATGAGATTTCTAAAAACTCGAAATTTCTGAAGATTCCAGTGATTCGATTCGTGATAATTCGGACCCCGAAAAAATATTTTCAAGGAAACTATCGGCATGTGAAGTTTTATAATTTTCTAAACGAAGAACTGCCATCGTTTACTATAAAAATTACTACTATAAAGATTTCCTACTACTATAAAGTTCACGTCCGATTTCTCCTCACTTATTGCTGTTCAAATATTGACATAGTATAGTACAGTTTTGCACTTGACTGTTCGCACTTGAGACCCGGATATTTGTGCTAAATTTTATTGAAATCGATCGAGAACTATGATTCAAAAAAACTTTATATTATTTCGTTGATTAATCAAATTTCCATTGCTTGTTCTAGAATTAAGATGTGAAACCGTGTCGATACGTTTTAAGTAAAGGTAGGATGAGAAATGTTTCGTCAATGTAGTTTAATTGAATATTGCTGTTGAACATGACATCGGGATAAGAAACAGGGTGCCGCGTAATCGCGGTGGAGTCGTTGTACGCGTTGTGAAAATTAACATCGACACGTAGGGGTAGTGGAGTTCTTCCTGATATATATTATGGCGACGATCGAGTAAACGGATATATTATTCCGACCGAAACTTTGTTAATTTCACGCAGTGAAATTGTGTTTGTCGAAGTCGCGGTTGTGATGGAAATACCGTGTAACTTTGCTGCGCCGGGTAATGCCGTTATACTGCAAAATACCGTAATTAAATTTAATCGCGCAAACCCCGCCGTGGTATAATTTAAAACGTTGCACTGTTTCGTACCGAGCAACACGTTACGCGCGAATGTTCATGACTCCTTACGCCGATGTACAACTATTAACGTTCGTTCGCTATCGTTCTCCCTTATGGTCGTGAAGGCAGCGTATAATGTTCATATACGTGTATTAATAACGTGTATGTATGAAACGAGATACAAATATCAACGATATACACACGAGATATATGAATAATTGTAATTAAGAAAATTCATAATAATTAGGAATTTAATCGTAGAATGGTAGTCACAGGAAATTAATTTTTAATGTTAAAATTTGTCACATTTGAAAGGAATATTAAATTCTAAGGAAATGTAGGGATCTATAAATTTTTTAATCATGATTGTATCAAGAAGCTTCAAAATTTTAATTTATATTGAGAATTAGAAGATCGTAAAGAGGCTTGAAATTTTAGGAATTAATTATTTTTCAATTATTATCGATTATCGGTTATATTGAAATATGTTAGTTTAAATTATTTAATTATATTTTAGAGATCAGAATATTCTGTCACATCGTTCAATAGTGAAAGTTTTAATGAAGTAGAATTGAACACGAATACAGGGAATTAATAGTATCAGTCGTCCCAGGAATTGTATTGTCAAAGCAATTTTATTATAATTATAATTGTTTACAGTAGTTTGGGATATGCAAAATTACATTCGCTCGTCTTTTTCCCATTGAAAAATTTGAATATCATTCCCACGGAATGAGTGGCCATAAATCTTTGAGTGAAATAGTAATTTATTTCTATGAGTACCCTTAAATATATCTTATATCTTCAATTTTCGCGTAAAAACAACGTTGGCTTTCGTACAATTTTCGCAACGTCGTTCTAGATCCGCAGCATGGCAAACAATAAGTTTCTTTCTAGAAAAGCTTTCAAGCTGTCCTTCCTTAAAAAAATAGAGGTGCAAGAAGCATGGTTGAGAGACCTAAATGGCAACTTTTTACCTGAGCATCCTAACGGATGGTCGGACCGAGTTAACTTTTACCGAAAGTATTGTACAAACAGAGTTCGGAGCATTCAGTTAAAAAGCATATCCTATTTTCTATATTTTCAACATAAATATTTACGCATACCTCGTTTAATTATACGGTTTACCGTTTGAAAACACCTGTGTCATATTTGTTCAGCGTTTAATATTCACAAATTTTTCAGTCTTATTTCAATGAATATCAATTTCCATCGTAAACATTGGCAAATGCTCCAAATACATATGTAATAACTCGAAATGTGTTTGTCAACAAAAATAGACAGAAAATTAAAACTCACCCCTTTTAAGGGGTTATTCTTATGTAAATGTAACAAGACGTTAGCTATTTTTATTAATTTTCTTTTATATAATTATTACATCTAACGCCATAGCTCATTTTTGCTATTTAGCTATTCTTTGGAAACTTAAAATAATTTTTTAATAATTTTAATCTACTATTCGTGTTGTTCGAAGTAAACGCGTGTTTAAATATCCAAATAAATATTTAAAAATCATTATTTTAAATAGAAAAATCGTAGGATTAAACGTTCCAAAATTTTGTCACTTTTCTCGCAATTTTTGAATAAAAAGGAAGTGATAGTCCGAGTTAATAGAATATGGAATAATATCTAAAAGTTTCAGCGCAATAGATAGTATAGCTTTTGTAATTTTATTTACTTCAGATATAAAAATTACATTTCGAGGAAAACGCGTTCAAAATTTTGAGTTTGAAAAATCATTTCTGACGATACTAATCAGTGAGTAAGCAATATACAGAATGAGAATGACTCTTCAACTATAACTATTCTTCTAGCCTTATCCACATACACTTGTCGGTGCACCGTGAACACGTGTAAACAATTTGCGAAGAAATGCCCATTAATTGAAACATAATCCGTAATTGCGCAACAGATCATTGCGCAACTAATTATCTGCTCAAAGCCAAATTTTCCTTGTCCACGATAAACATGAAGTATGATCGTTAATATCGTCATTTACCCTCGTAATTATTAATCGGATCCTCGTTATTAATTGAATTCTCCGTTTCAATTTATCTAATTGATGCAGCCGTTGATATAATCATCGGTTGATCATATCGAATTTCCATTCTACGTACGTCAGCTCGAAATATCCATCCTTTAACTCGCTTTTTCTCCCTTTTGCCGCGAAAAAGTCCGCGATCTTGATTTTCCCTTGCTTTTCCTCGATTTACCGGAAATCGTGCAAACATGCTGGTTCTCTTCGTTCTCCAGGCTGGTTTCTCCTTTTTCCTTCTCTTTCTCGCAAATATTTTTACAGCATGGTTTGCACGCGTTCTTCGATGGATTTTCGTTTACACGGGAATCCTATGAAGTGTTCAGGAAGGTGGTGGATATTTCTCTCTTTTATTTCCTCCTATTTCCTCTTTTCTCCCGCGCTCCTTTTGCTTTTTCGTTTAAATTCCTAGGGATGTCGCAAACGTCAAGAGTTATTTCTCGATTTCAATAAAACGAACACGAGAGGATGGGTAAAAAAGCTAATCGGGAACGCGGAACGTTTCGACTTGGAAATTGTTGGTTTAGAAGTTCCGGTTTATTGGAAATTTCAAGATGCATTACGATTATTAACATTCACTGTTATCCAAGAATTTATATCGGCATTTAGGTTAACGAAGTATTCACTGTGTTTCTGCATTTTTTGTCTCTTCGTATCCCTTTTTCATTCTTCTACGTCCCTTGTCGATACTTATCGTTATTTGCATAGTATTTCCGTAGGTTGCCGTATGTTAGTTTCCGAAGCGGATTCACTGTTCTTTTCCGTTCTTCTCTTCATTTCCGTTTATTTTTCTTCTTCTTTCCTGGTAGCCTGCCAATTTAAAATTATGCCATAACGAGTAATTCCGTGTTTAATAATTTTGAGAAAATGCGATACTCGAACTATTTTAAGTATACTCGTCGGTGACGTGGGATTTAAATAAATTTTGTATTTGTCTAGCATTATGGAATATCTGAGAAGAAAAATTAATTCGCGTTTTTCGTAAAAGCAAATAGCAAATATTTCGTGCTATTATTCTATAATTATTTTTATGAATACATTATTTAATAACATAAAGTAAACCGAAAATTTCGAAATTAAAATGCTAATTTTTTTAATTTCAAATTTTCCGGAGTAGAAAATAAGCAGTTATTCATTAATTAGAATTAAGGTAAAAGCATTTCCTTATCTCAAAGGATTTCATTTAAAATTATCTTCTAAAGAAATTTAATCTACCGGAAAAGAAATAGAGAAGATATTAATTAATAAAAAGTAAAAAAGAACGGATCTCGGAAATTTAACATTTTCGTTATTTAAAATTTTCATTCTCTAAAATTCAATTTTCTTGAAAAGAAAATGAGAAATTCTCAATTAATTCGAATAGATGATAAACAGGCCCCAAAAATCATTTCAACGTTTCTAAAATTTAATCAAAAAAATCCTTTATATTTCACACAATTTAAATGGATGATAGACATACGTATAAAGTACATCTTCTATGTACTTTAATCTATATATCTATCTATCTCGTAAACATTTGTAAACTTTATAAAGCTCGCAGAAACCCATATAACTGCCATAAGTTTCTCAGTCAGATTAATAAAATGGAAAATAATTCTAGGTTATAACCGACTTTTCAACCCCCAATTTATCTCTCATTATCATTCAACCCTCGTCTCAAAACCGACCATCTTTGCTTTGCAGGTCACCTATTACATCGTGGACAGCGACAGGAACGAGGGGAAGGACTACTTCGAGATCAACCGTGAGACAGGTGAAATTTTCACGAAGGTGATGTTCGATCGCGAGAAGCAAGGCGCGTACGCACTGGAGGTGGAGGCCAGGGACGGTGCACCATCGGCGAGACCCAACAGCAACGGCCAGCCGAATTCCGGTATGTAGATCATTGAATTTCCTCGCACGATGCCTTGGTGGCCTGGCCACGTCTACCTGCATTGGGTCCGAAAATATCGGACGTTTGTTCGAAATTGAATCTGCTCGATAGGCAAGGGAGCCTCGACCGAGTGGAATTTAATCCGGAACCTGCGATCGCATTCGCTTATGCGAAAGTAGGGCTGAAGGCTGTCGCGTTCGCCTTTGGATCGTGTCCGCGTGCAGATTTAGGATTGATCGATCCGTGAATTTCACTTGGACAAAAGTAGAGGCGTGGTCCGAGTGAAAACGAGCGCGACAGTCGCGAACGGAAGTGGAAAATAAGGATTCGGAGAGGCAGCGAATTGCCAGAGATTGAAGTCGGAAGGATACTTCAAAGGTACTTTGAAAACGCGAGTATCGCTAACGATTAGGTCTGCAATTTGGAAGAAAGGAAGTTTCTTTGAAAGAAGATTTCTCTTCGCGATTTTTCGCGAGTGGATTTTCGCGAATAATTTTCTCCACTTCGGAGGGTGAAGCAAAAGGATTCGAAGGGTTCGCGGAATTTATCGCGGAATTGGTGAGAAAATTTCAGAATTTTGTTATGAGTAGTACAATAGCTACCCGAGCAAAATTACTCGCGTTATAAATTAGGGAAAAAGCTTGCTTTGCATTTGAAAGAGACACACAAGCCACTTTATCCCGCGAGACTGCGGGCCATCCAACTACCCTTCGTTCAAGTGAATTCAAAGTTTAATGACACAGCTGAAGATACAGTTTTTAACAAGGCGAGTGATCAAAGAGAGACCTCGGGTTTGTTTATGAAACTATCTTCCTCTGTGTTCTTTCGAATATGTCGATAACGCGAACGGTACCTTCTGCTGGATATTTTGTTTTGTTATAGGAATTATAAATTTATCTCTGTCCAGTTTTACGATCATCCTTACTCCCAGAAGCTACTCTTTGGGCGGTATTAAAGGATAAGCTTGGACTTGTATGGACTGGTTTCTTCGCGAAACCCTTTGCCGTCCTACTGTTGCTAACGAAAAAATTTGAACGAGGTATTTCAAGGGAATTTTTTAAACTAAAAAATTCTAATTTCAATAAAAGTTTCTGTAAGTATATGTAAAGAATATGACCTTATGCGTGCTGGGATTCTGTTAATAGTGAGAAATGACTACGGGTAATGTGTAACATTTCACGATTCACGTAAGCACGTATGCACTTTAATTAAAATCAGAATTTTGGAATTTACGAATTCTCTTGGAATACAGCATTTTAATACTTTCGTTACACTCTGCATATCGATTTGTCAATATTTTATTTTAACTTTTATACGTGAAAAACATGACGGTATAGGTATATATTAATTAACAAAATGTTAAAATGGAGACAAATTTTGAATAAAATATCGGAGTGTGTTCCTATGATTCATTTCGACCATAAAGGGTTAATGGTTGTCTTCTTTTCGTCGAGTTCATTATTTCTAAAATTTGAATTAAAGTAGCTAGGAAATTTTTTTAATTTTCGCTAATAAATACACGCTGTTTTCTGATTCTACGTGAAAAATATAGGGTATTAAATGCGGAATATTCGCGTCCCGAATTTAGACTGTATATTTCTAGCGTTGGTCTACGCGTTTGAAAATCTCTTTCCAGGTCACGTTGCATTTTATTAAATTGCATTTTCCATGAAAAATTGATATTTTCTTTCTTCATTATCTTTACGAGGATCCATTTGTTTGATCAACGTAATTTTCCCTATTCCAGGAAAATAGAGTTTCCACAGTTTCCTTGCTGAATAGTTGTTTTACCCAAATGTAATTCCGCAAATATTTAGACGATGCTGGTAAAACTCATCTTTCAACTTCTTGTACACAGTATATTCGATTAAACTATGTAAATCGCGAAATAAAACATAGAAGTAGGAAAATAATAAAAATATTCGTGAGATATAGCGTTTATCATGGTGTCGATTTTTGTTTGCGAACTTTCTTTCTCTATTTCACCGATGGTGGTTTCTGATCGAATAAAATTAGAATGGAATTAATGAATATTGTTGATGAATATTCGTTCCTCCTCGGAAACTAAATTTTTTTCAAATTCTTTCGACTAGTGGTATTTAGTAATATCGGAAACAAACGTCACGTTGGAACTTTTAACACCAGCGTATATGCGCGTACCTATTGTACAAATCGTGCTATACTGCACAGATATTCGTAGTATTCATTATTCGCTTTTGTCGTTAAAATATTCTCCCTTTGTTATTTTCGCGAATTTTTATTCGCGAATTCCAACTGGCATGCACGTCCATGAAAAGTTATACCTCCATACGAGGAACCATAGTAATTATTTCGTAGCTCGTGTTAATATATATTAATTAAAATCTCTTCCCAAATTATATTTTGACGCGGAGAAATTTGGAAAAAATTACGAAGACTACAAAGTACAACATTTTATGGGTTTCATGTACATTTAATAAAGCAATTAAGGAGTATTAAATTCTAATATTCATTGTCTCTTTGGAACATTCACTTATAACCTCGGTTCTTTTTATTAACGAGATCTCGAGTATCATAAATTAATGACATTCTTTGCTTTTCACCATAATCGTTCAATCTTGTCACTCGCAAATGTGTAATATATAGAAATAAATCTTGGAAACATTATAAAAGTTAGAGAAAAGAATTATTTAAAAAATTCTACAAATATATTCTAGAACTGAAAGGGAACTTGGTTACTGAGATTGATGAAAATATTAAATAGAGACAGGGTATCATCGCTAAAATATAATATCGTCACAAGTTCAAAATATTTTCTCTCATTTCTTAATTCACTTATAATCACGATGAAAAAAAGAAAGAACGTATAAGAACAATCTTTATATCTCAAAGAAGATAATACGATTCATCGACTTTGTACTAACAAGTACAAATAATATTCCAATGATACCTCTGCGAATGAGTGAACTCAAAAATAAACCCGTTCAAGCGAAGTAGATCGAACTTCGGTATTCACAGTAGTGGAAAAAAGACAGATTCTAACCTACTCGACAGAATGTAAAATATACAAAGAAGGAGGAGAAGAAAAGTGACGAGATGCTAACGAACTTAACGAACTCTTCAGCAATTCCTCCTCGACTACCTCCATCGAGGCAGCCGGAAATCTCTTCACGGCGGTTCACACGTCTCATTGGTCACGACGGAATCGAGAGCCAATGGCACCGTTCCCCTGGTGCTTTAGAATTCCGTTCTCGGTTGCAAATTTATCGAGCCGGTCCGATACCGTATTCAATTCCTTAGCCGACGCCAATGCACGCGCGGCATGTCCACGTAGAATTTGCAATCGCATAATGTTTGCCCGGCAAATTACTCCGCACGTGTGCTTAAGGAGCGGATCAATTAGTCACGTTCCCGTAACTTTTCACGAGGAACCAGGGTAACGTTTACGTCCTGCAAGTGTGTACCAATTGATTGCTCGATGTTTCGCGTCCAATCAGTCGTGCACCCGCGAAATTTCGTTTCTCGTGCCGGAATTCGGCCGAGATCGGGGATCCAGGATCTGCGGGAATATTTATGACGATTCCGCTCGGCGAATGGGATTCCGGTGCGAGATACACGCGTTTACGACGCGACTTGTAGCTTTACGAAGACAAAGCAGCTGCTCCGTGGGAGCGCTGCGAAGAAGAATCATCGCGACCCAGAAACGCGTAAATAGAGGGGTTGAAATTCTCTCAGGAAAATGGCAAACGACGATCCTTTTTCATACGTTCGTCCGGGAGAAAATGAGATGCGGGGGTGCCTTCGTGTCTGGTGCAAGGGATCGAGCGATGGATCACGCGCAGTTAACCACGTCCTAACCCTGGCCTGTTCAAAAATTCGAAATTTCACCACTACTCCGAGAAGCTTCTAAATTCCAATCTTCCCGTGATTGACTTGTGGATTTTTTAAATTCTTCCAATTGTAAGATGAATTTTCATCGTATTCGATGATTTTGTCAACCCTTCGTGCAGTACCGATTACATAGTCTTGTGTTACACATGTGTCACATAGTTCAAAGTCGTATTATTTACCTAATTTTTCTCGATTTTATGTAGTAGTACAGGAGTGCCATTGTATTTCCACGCACTGAACAAACATTATTTTTCAGCGTTAATTGTGTTCATATTTTAAATTTACATTATACCGAGGCAGCATATAGTTTGAATTAATTAATCCATTATGTATCTATTTTATCCAGAAGAAGGTTGTACAAATTTTCAAGATTTTCATGAATTTTATTTACGATAAAACGTTTTAAGGGTAATATTATTTCTATGACGAGGGTAGGTTATGCGTGTGCAGTTGAGAAGCCTACGACGTTATTATAGCGCAAGGGGTTATTATGCTCTGTTATCAATGAACCACTGTCAACTTGTACTCAAGGGTTTCCTCGTCACACGATTTTTCTCATCCTTTTGATACACTCGCTTAGAGTCTGTCCATTAGGGAAAATCAGTGATGGGACATCGAAAAAATTAAATTTTGAAACTATCGAACGAGTTTGTTCGTCGGATCTCGGATGTTTCTTGCTGCTATAGCGCATAAGAGGTAACTACGAGTGGAAGTATTATATCGGAGTTTCAGAATATAACAAAGTTTCATGTGGAGGACGTTCTGATAGAAAAAATACCCGTGGTATATTTCGGTAAGAAAAATTACATAACCGTACTTTCGAAAAACAAGCAGAGCACAATTACTGAGTTCCCCGGTGAAGGGTGCATTTTTCTAACCAAGAAAATTTCATTCCGCTTTCAAACACTGCACTTTCGTCTACGTTTTAGAAACTTCGCGACGAACGAATCTTCTTGGAAGAAGGTTGGGTGGAAATTTTACTGAAAATTTGCCTGGTTTGAACTGGCCTGTGTAACTTTCGACGTGACATCGTCCAAGTATTTAATAAAATAAACGACGAATTTGGATTTGTCATTCTTCTGCCTGTTTCCTAGTTTCTTCTACGCAAATAGAGAAAAAGGGGGGTTGAA